ATCCTAGAATATTTCAATTACAGTGATGTTTCCTTTATGGTGGGGCGCACTCACTAATGGAAGGTAGTGAGTATGTGTGACACGGCTAATAAATAGTAAGAACATAGACAATCTGACAAAAACGATGAAAATTGGCTCGCTCGACTGTGGGTAACTTGCAAAGAAACATTCAGCCTCATCTGAGTTGTAACCCCGTAATGTGGCCTTCAATCAAAGGCCCTTGTAATACTTCAGGCATTTGAACCATTTCCTATGCTATGGGTGGCAAGGAGTATGTAGAAATCCCTTCAAGAATGGAAGCAGACTGGTTTTCATAGAATCTGATTGGTATATCCGCCTTGATACACACACGACTATGGAAATAAATAGGCGGGTGTGTTCCTGCCAGTGGATATAACTGAGGCGAAGACAGCATGGTGGGCATCGGGTACCACGAAAGCAAGGTATTGCCATGACTAACTGACAACAGCGAGGAGCAAAAGCTATTAATTCATTCTGCCTTGACGTCTTTTTCCAAGAGAGCATCTGTATATTTCCCCATCTTGAGAGAACCTCACGAACAATGCCTGGATATGACTACCAGGGGGAAAGGTAACTTAGGTAGGGGTCTGTAAAGGGTCCATCGGGACTGTTATTCCAAAGGAGCGAAGCTTGAAGGGTCGATGGTTTATCACCACTGATCCGAGGTTTTCGCTGAAGCGACAATCAGAAGTTATTTCAGGTGGCCTTGGAGTAATGTATGTACGGTCCATACATCCATACGTTGGAGTTTGACGTGAGAGAGTGGAAATTAATGGATCCAATCAATCATTATTAAAGGTTAAAAATACAGAAATCACGTGGGTCCCAGGTTGTGTCCAATTATTAAACCTTCCCCAACAAGTCTTGGCCCGCTTGGCATGCTTGGCCCGATTCTTATTTCATTTCAACAAACCTTCCTCTGATAATTTTCTCATTTTCTTCACAGTTCAGTGTTCACATCGTCCTGAGTTCTGCGTGCCGATTCTGGATTGTTGAGTGCTGATTGCTGAGTGCGAACTCCGAAGTCTGCAGTCTGCTGGGGCTCAAAGATGCTCGGCATCGACAATGGCAATACATCTTGGGTTGTGAAGCCGTTTCATATTCAAGCTTTCCAAGAACTTGATCTCTCGTGTTTTCCCAACTGCTCACTACTATTGGATATTGGTATACATAACAGCCCTTGGCACTTCATGACCCTTTGATGAAGTGTTCCTGGCGGCCATCCAATATACTGGCAGAGATAGCGGAGTGAAACATGGCTATCCCTCTTTCGTTCATAAATACGAGCCGGCGCGCCACACGACCAGTAAACAATAGTGACTCATGAGAAAAAGTCCCTCTCTCGCAATGATTGGACTTGGCACCAATGGAGACATAGGTAGTCAGGGGCATGCACGGCTGGCACATCGATGCTGGGTGTCATGAACGTCCAGCATTGTTTTTATTCTGAAGGCATTCCTTTCTGCTTTGATCTTTCGGTGAAAAAGGAATTTCACTATCACCTGGGTTTATAGGGTTGCTTTCTTGATCCTGCGACAGGATGCTGTCTCAGACTACCTGTGCACCGCTGCTGATAGCGCTAGCAGTCGTCGTTCTTCCGTCCTCTGGATTTTCATTTTCCAAACGTGCGGAGGCAACGAAAATCACCACTCCTCACACCGGCGATAGAATCACGACGGGAATTGACCTGGAAATCCGATGGGAAGGTAACCCTTCGGACAGACCAGTCAGCCTCGAACTCCGAAAGGGTTTGTCCCATAATATCACCACAGTTCACGCGATTTCAAGTACGTGTATTTTACTTCTTTTGTCCAACATCTTCTCCTGAATCATACTTCAAGTCCGACTGTTGAACACGCCGCGACCTGAATAATTCTTACTCTCTTGTGCTGGATTATTTTAGTTTGTACTCATTCTTAACCCAAATCCTATAGGTGAGACTCCCAATAACGGTTCCTATCGTTGGCGAAGTCGTGATGACCGTTTTCTTCGCGCTTCATATGGCAAAGAATTGCCAGACGTGCCCATTAGCGGCTGCGATTATGTAATTGCTCTCCGCGAAGCCCAGACAGTTATTCATTCCGACTATTTTACAATCGTAAATCTTAATGATGATGGTTTAAACCCGAATATTCCATGTCCCGGTAATTCAGGCCCCCCAAAAAACGAAGGGGGATCTGGCAGTAAAAGTTCGCCAAACCTGGATACTTCTCCTAATAATAACGGTAAGTCATCTTCTAATGCTCTAGTCCAATTTTCTCCTGACTCGTGGATAGGATCCGTCGCTCCGGAAGGCGTCACCACAGGCGCCCTTGCGGGTGCAGTTGGTGGAGCCGCCGGAGGTCTCATTTTCATTTTCACTGCCATCCTCTTTTTTGGTCGACGAGGGAATTGGTTTATCAGAGAGGAATACATTCAGAAGCTGGTTGAGATGAGAGTATTTGAACTGCAGCCTATAATGGCTCCTGTTCAGCCTCCTCCAGAACAATATATACAGTCCCCTTTCACTTATGCAGAGCTTAGTGGGCATCACACGCATCAGTTACTTGACGGAACTCCAAAGATAAAATAGAAGAATGGGGCTCAATTTTCATGGTCATTTCAATTCAGGTTTTCCTATTATTTTTGATAGGTACTTTTCTCCTTCTGTCCACTTGCCGGCTTTTACAGGCCAGTTTTCTTTATGCTTGAATGTCCTCTAGGGTGTATAAATGTGCTGGCATGCGTAGGAGGATTTTATTTCAATGTATTAAATTAAATTCATGGAACAGCCATATATTATAAGCGTGTAGTTGAATGTGATTTTAAATATAAAGGTCCCTTTCAAAAGTTTCTTCCTGCCAAGGTACCATATAACATCATGAAACTTTAATTCTGCAGAATTTTCCTAATTATTAATATATGAAAAATCACATACTTTGATATATTGATTTTTAAATTCCTTTTCAAATTCAATTCTTCTTTTAATATGGCTTGAAATACTGATATTTCTACTTGTGCTCTTGTGATTATATTCAAATCTATTGAGAGAAAGACTTCTATTGAGATCTTAGAAGTAATTTACTTATCTATTTAATTAAATCAATTTAATATATTATTATTATTTTTATTTTTCATTTAAAATATATTCAGTCAATAATTATGATATCTATTTAATTAAACTAGAATATAACTATTTTACTAATTTAACTAATAAGTAGTAATTAACTCATGTACTTATAGAGTTTTATCTCAGAACAATATAGTATTTAATAATTTTTTAATAAAAGATACATTTATAGTTTTAATTTTAATTCAGTTAATTTTTCAACATAAATTATCTTTCTTATATAATAATATAAACAACTCAACATATTTTAAAATAATATAAATTAATATAATTATAAAATAATATAAATTAATATAATTATAAAATAATATAAATTAAAATAAAATAAAATAATAAACTAATATAAAAGTAAACTATATATATTTAAAAACT